TTTTTTTTCGGCAAGCACTTTCATGTTTCTATCGTAAAGACTCTAATTTCACTTTGTCGTACATTCTTTTGTTTGACTGCATTCCGTTTTGAAAATTTGTTGTAGCAGCTCCTAGAAAATAAACGTTCTTCTCAACAATGATGTCTTTTATTGCATATGTTCTATTAGCAATTTTTTACATAGCATACAAGACGAGACTGAGCTTCACAAAATGCGCTAAGAATTGAGGATCTCGCAGCAGTACTTCAGAAATGTTACTATGCCTCTCAGCAAAACTCTCATTGTTGATAGATGCTGTACAGAAAACGAACAATTAGGATTATTATTTTGTGGAGAAGTGTTTGTCTCAAAATCCATCGAAATATTATTTTTAAGCTTTGCAGAGATGTACTCATCACTTCTGACCTATGAGTTCCACAAAAAAGAAAACATTTTCGGGCGACCCATTACATTGACCATGTACATAAAAGATCGAAAAGTTAATAGTACTAGGAAACATTTTCTATATGCTAATGAGATCTCTTCATAGGTCTCAACGTTTACAGAATTATGTTTTCGATGATTTTTTTTGGTCGAATTGAATTCTGTAAATAAACATGAAATTTGTTTTTTACAATCTCATTTCGGTCAATATGTGAATTGTTCAATTGCATGAATAATTCGTTTATCACTCTAATCAATAAGTGAAATGACTATAGCTAATAAAGTTCATCGAGAGTCAGACATTGCTCAAAATTGTATGGTAAGACTAACCGTCATTGATTCTGATATTGATACATGTTACTATAGAGAAACAAGATTGACAAAGGTAAGTAGTTGTTATTAAATTTATCTTCTAGTTTGACCACACCTATAAATCAAGACTACGATGACAACGTTGTTGATGTTGATGAATTAGTTTAGTCACTATAAAACAAAGAAACGTCAAATTTTTTCTTACGTTTCACCGTGGGATTATTCAATTTTCTAACGAGATTGAATAAGAAATGTATAATCAATCTTTTATTCTTATTCATGGGCCGTTCATACAAAAAGTTTTCTACATCTGATAGAACTCGTAGATTTGTCTTCTGACACATATTATAAATGGTTTGATTATATTTTTGACAAAACTATTCATCATCGCCATGTATACACTCTTGATGTATATCGGACGAATCTCTACTACTAATGTAAGATTTGGGGGTGCTGTTCTTACTGTAAAAATTTCTGGTGTTAAATTTACCTTTATTAATTATACATAGTTTGACTGATCAGTGGTACCTGGACAATAAATCATGCTGTCATCGCCTTTTTCAATAGGTAGATACACCAGTTAATTTGTTTTAGTTGAAACACATATATGATGATGATGAAGTGAATATTTTAATAATGTTTATCAATCACAATCAACTTCATCGTCAGCTCCATGAAAATAATTTCAGAATCCATTACTATTTATTATAGCAAATATGGATGTTATTGTGTGAACATTGTTCACAATTTGTTTCATTGAATTCTGTAAAAACGTAAAAATTGTTTGAAGCGAAATATTGATATTGAACATAGTGACTTCCTAGATGTTCATCATAACAAAAAATATTACCATCATAGTGTTTGCATTGATATTTATCATCTTGGATAAAATAGTGAGGAATATATTCGTTTGTGGTTTTATATTTGAAGTATTTTTAATGTCATTCTGATAACCAAGAATTATTTTATCCTAAAGATGGAATTTTGAGATGCATGTCGATGTGTTAGTACATCAATACGTGATTGGTTCGTTGCAAAACATAGAGTAATTGTGAGCCATTGAACAACATGTCCAAACCAACTCGTATATCAGTATAGCCCAAGGGAGAGACGAAGTACGACTCCAATACTCCATTCGTACTTCGAAGTACTGGAGTTGCGTTTTTTCTTCTTTGTCATTCAGTCATACAATATGAAATGATTTGAGAAGGACGATTGTGAGAATTATTAGAAGTAGGGATATAGAATTAATCATGTTACAATAGTTTGTTTCTCACTTGATCATTCACATCATCTGTAAGATGAAGATTGATTCAAGTCTATGCAGTTACCGAACATGACACTACAAAATATAAAGAATATCTGAGAAACAACATTTTAGTTTTCTTGAATGAAGTTAAATAAATGAATAAACAAAGTATTAGAAAAATACTTATTTGATATAACAGATTCTTCTCTGTTGTTTTCCTTTCAGACGAACGTCCTATTTTAAAATATCTTTTTTCTCAACCGAAGTTCATAACAAACTTTGAGGCGACTCGTTTGTTTCTGTATCTTGTGTATAAAATGTGAAACTATTGAAATAATTAGACATACTACATCATAGGAAGTTCACATATGATATTCTTTTAGTTACGCTTCAAAGCTACGTGAGAACAATGTTTAGTATATTGCCAAGCAGAAAACAATGAATTTCACATTTTCAATATTTCGAAAGATTTCAAGCACAGACATTTAAAGATTTCAGAATTTTTTCAAATACTTTAAGGAAATTTCATAAAACTTCAAGCTCGAAGTCTCTTCTGTTTCTTCTCCTCTAAAATGAATATCTACATGTTGATCAATGCTACCAATTTCAAATGTCTAAAACATAAAAAACACAGTGTAATGGTTAAGATTTACATTATTTTTTGTTGTCTATATTTAGAAAAAAAGAATAATAATCATTTTTTTTTTCAATAAAGAATTTTCATATCATTAAATAATGATTAATGTGATTTGTCGGATGAATAAAAACAACGTTGTTGTGGACAGTATATCTACACACAATAGAAGTTCTTTTTTTTTTTATCTGCGACATTGTTTTGCACGTGGTACTGCTTTCGACTAATGGTGTTCTTATTTCGATTAATGCGAATTTTATTTGAAATGAATATTAAGAAGAAAGAATGTGTTGTATTCAAGAATAAAAACGTTACTCCGTTGTTAATTCAATCGAGAGAAATAAGAGATATAGTTTACATGTATTAGAAGTCAAGGATAAATTCTATTTCATTGAATCAAATAGGGCACCAAAAAATACTTTACGGACATTTTTGCTAGACGACAGCATTTTGTTACTGTTTTTGATTCATGAAATCCTGTAAATTTCTAAAATATGACAGCAAAACATTATCATAATCATTATTCATTCATATTGATAAATTCCGTTTTCAACAAATTTTAATTTAATACAAATTTTATTATTTAAACCGTTTGCAAGTAGAATTTTATTCAATCATATAAACAATATATCAGTAAATTCTGATCGAACAAACAAATGACACAATATACATTCTCTTTTATCTGATGAAATAGTAATCTGAAATTTTCAATTTTAGAACAATTACACCATTCAATAATTTCTCTCAAACATGGATCGTGACTGATATAATTTTATTATCTATTGTCAATATAGACCTATTTCGATCTACCCAGTTTTTTTCAAATCGTCTGTACACACCATATTATCTTATGTCTATATCGCTATGATATACTCCCTTTTAGAAGTGTCAATATTGAAACTTGTGGATACTTGATGAAAAAATTGTTTCATTCACACTAAATGAATATTTTATTTTATAAAATTGTAACACTATTTGAAATTACTAGATAGAAATAGATTTGGTTGGTTTATACGTTAAACATGTGATATGTTTTTTTTTCTATTTTCGATGAGACAAAAGGACAAAATACTTTGATAACTTCAAATTTTATTTCTTGATTCTTAGATTTTTTTTTGTTACAGCACACGTTTGTCTGATAAGATAATTTAGAATGAATAAGATGCAACGTACGCGTTTATCAGTAGGCGAACATATACCTCTTCTTGTCATCAAATACACATATAGAATTCTTTTTCTAAAACATACATGGCAAAATCAAGTGGAGGATCTGATTATGATTTAATTTTTAAATTAGTTCTTATAGGTGATAGCTCTGTTGGAAAGGTATAATAAATTCTCTTTCAATACTAATTTACTATTTATTCTTTATTAATAGAGTAATCTTTTATTACGTTTCACTCGTAATGAATTTCGTCTTGATACTCAATCAACAATAGGAGTTGAATTTGCTTATAAACAACTTATAATTGATGGAAAAAAAATAAAAACTCAAGTTTGGGTAATTTTCTTATTTGATTTTTGTCTTTTAAAATTCTTTTATTATCATCATCATAGGATACAGCAGGTCAAGAACGTTTTAAAACTGTTATACCACAATTTTATCGTGGTAGTGAAGGTGCTTTAGCTGTATTTGATTTAACTAAATCTGAATCATTTGATCATATTACAGTTTGGATTGAAGAATTACATCGACATACACCACCTGACTTACCAATTGTGCTTGTTGGAAATAAATCTGATTTAGTTGATCAACGTAAAGTATCACGTCAACAGGCAACAGCTCTTGCTGAACAACTTAATATATCATATATGGAAACATCAGCACTTAATGCATCTAATGTTGAACAAGCATTTATTACAGTTGTTACAGGTATTTTTTATAAGAAAATACCTAAATCAGTCGATAATTCATCGTCATCATCAGCAATGACATCAATAGGACACGGGCCAACATCAAGTATTCCTGTGTCATCTGATGCACAAGTTGTAATTTCACCGAATCAAAAATCATTTCGTCTAAAAGATAATCAAAAACCAACAGTTTCAAATAGCGGTGGATGTTGTAAAAATTCTTGATTCATTTTTTTTTTGTCATATTTTTTTTAAAATTAAATATCAATGAAATTAATTCTATCAGTTTTATAAAAATATTTCTTAATTGGAAAGAATTACCGAATATTATCTTATAAAAGATAAAGAAAGACATTCATATAACATAATCTACTGAATACTGTGATAATTTTGAGATATATGTCTTATAAAACTGTTGACAGTCTTGTTTCATTTATATAATTATATATATAAAAGAAGAAAATTCGCTTCAATGTACACAAAAATACAAAAAATTCAAGCTAAAATATTCCACAAAAAAACAAAAAACTACATGATGATATTATGATTAACTGAAATAGACGTATATTCTTTAGATGATGTTAATAATTGACTAGTACCAGTATTACCAACTGCAGAACCAGCTGGAATAATCATTGTTGGAATGAAATGAGAAAGAGCTGACGAAGAAATCGGTATAACAGCATGATTACGATGAGCTAATGGGGATTCAGTAAGCATTGTAGGATTGAAAATATCTTCTCCAGAAATAGATTGTTTTTGTGGTGTGCATTGTTGATGTTTTATTGCATAGAAATCATCTATTTTTGATGTTATTGATCTATCAAACCAATGAACATGTTGCTTTTTAAGTGAATTTGCACGTGAAAAAGTTAGAGCAATATTATTCTCAGCTGACACACCGACATCATCGTTACTCGATTCCACATAAGGGCCATTATACGAACTAAATATATCAACAAAAAGATAATTATTGAGAACAAAAAAAAAACTTTATTTTCATATACCGTAGAGCCTCCAGCTGTTTCGTATTTATCATCATATGTGGGGGCCGACGTTCCATCAGTTCTATGCGAGGTCTTCTTGACAAACTGCAAAACACAACAATTCAATAAAACATTAATATCAATCTCAAATTTAGTGTTCAGTAAAACAAAAAAAAGCGTGCAAAGAGAAAAATATAAAGCAATGTGAACAAAAAAAAAGCACAGATAAAATGCTGCCACCGACTACAAACAAAAAATATTCATTGGCGAATATAAACCTCTAGCATATATTTCTCTTGAGTTTTTTTTTCTGCTTAATTCACATACATAGAAATTCCACATATGATGTGGTGATGAATTCGAATTAATCAGTAGCTCATCATTGTTAGTAATAATAGCAGAAGAAGATGGTAGACGACGAGTAGGAATGTTTTGCCAACAACTGTCAATGAAGGAATGATTGAAAAATATTTGCTTAAACATATATGTGTGAATTAAAATAATAGTCACACACAAATATCAATCGATGTAAACGAGAAAAAGAAAAAAAGTAAGGATTACAGAGAAGAAATTTTTTTTTGTTGATATTTTTATTTTGAAATAATCAAAGAGAGAAAAAAACTTACGAAATTTGAATCAAAAAAATAGTTTTGATATCTGTAAATATAATATTTAATTTTAATATTCTTTCAATTTCGTATCATAATATAATGTTGTTTCTTTACTTTTTTTAAAGAGAAGTGTCATATAATGAACAATAAAGTATGAGTACTTACTGACGTCGTATACAACAAATGGCAACTACAATAATAGGAATAAGCAGAGCACCGACAGTGATTAGGAGCCAGATGGCTAACTCGCCTCCCATTTGACCTACAATTCTCATCATTAATACATTAAACGAAAAAATTGATTCAAATAACTTACGTTCCGTGTATTGTGGAAACATTTCCTATTCGAATGTATTATCAAAATAACATTATATACTAAAAAAATGTAAATAATTCTTAGGCGTTGTCAGAGTGGAAAAGACTTCTTGTTTTATTTCTTTTTCTATTAGTCTGTTTGTCTGTCTGTCTGTCTGTCTATATCGATCGAGTACATAATATAATATTTACTATTCTCACTATAAATATATAGAATTGTAACAATGTAACGAGTTCTTAAATCGTTTTGTACACATAAAATGAATCGCAAGTAGACGGCGGCGACGTCCTCAATTGTTATTATACTTACTATTAAAAGCTTCTCCCTGTGTTCAATCATACAACTATGAGAAAAAAAGAATAGTGTAGTTGACCTGAAGCAAGAAAGAAAAATATAGTAACGAACGTACGTGGAACTCCTCTCGTCTCGTCTTATGCTTGAAATAAATAATGACTGGTTTCCCCACTACACACACTTTTTTTTTATTCCACTTTTTTTCTCTTTCCTCTTCTTTCAGAGAACGAAGAATTTTCATGATTAAATTCAGACATCGTCATTTGAAGTAGACAGAACAGAAGGAACAAACAGACATAAATAGTTGAACAATATGTTATTTCAATATAGAAATAAGACAAATTCAATTCATGGCCTTTTCTTATATTCAAAGATGTTTATATATTGACCATTTAACGTTAATGTATGAGGACATTGCTGTTTAGCAATTGTCAGTTCATGCATATACAATTTCAATATGTGCACGGCTAAATTGAAGTACAATGCTGAAAAGGTCAAAAAATACTAAGATAAGATATTAGATATTAAGATTTTTATATCATCATCAACCTTTAACAATACTTATTATAGAACAGAGATAATAAATCGAATATTGAAACAATTGTCCAGAAAGAGTTTCAATATTTTCATGTCATGTTCTTCAAATTAATAGAATATAATCTAACAGAACACAAAAAAATCAAATATGTCAACGGTCATTTTTTTTCCCTACATATGATTGTAAACATTTTTCTTATGAATATCCTAAATCGTTTCTGATATCAAAGAAATGTAAAAAGTGTAGTCATCATGGCAACCATAAGAACAAAACAAATCGAGAGTTATACCATTTTGTATATATTCATTTTATTCCGTAAACGTATTTCTGAAACCGTAAAGGTGCTTTGGAAAATCGATATTGTTGTAAAAAAAAGGGATTTAGTATTCGATACATTATCTCCGGCTATCTCTTCAGTTTTCGAAAGATTTCCTCGGCATTTGAGAGTGTATAATGAATAATTTATTCAATTGTCATTAAGTCATTCTAGACAGCAATACATTGTAACTACATCGACAAAAAAGTTATGGTGATAATTTGAAAACAAGCAAGTAATATCTCACATTCTCTCCCTGTTTTTCTGAGAAATAGGCAATATCTATCAACTTTAAAGAATATACATCATATAGGATATATAGTCTTTTTTTTTCATTAGTTGTTACATATCACAATAACCCAGAATGCGTTATACATTTCAACAAATATTTATTTCATCGTAAATTATCCGAGAATGTGTCATTTTTTTTCTCCAGTTAATCGGTATAGTAACTCATCATTTGATGTATAAAAGTATTGTGTGATAAGATTATTTCTATTATTTTATCTCTAAGTTTGCTATATTCCTCTTCAATAAAAAGACATGTTCATTTATCTTAAACATAAATCTCGAAGATTTTTTTTGTCACTTATATTTTGAAAACAAAGATTTGTCATTAAATTTAAAAATGAAATGATGAGTTATTGACATCAACTAATACAGCATAACAAGAGATATTGTGTCAGTGCATTTTTCCTTCTTTTTCTCTTTTAAGATATTCATCAAAATTTTCCAACTAAGATATTATTCCAATTGATACATTACATGAAACGAAATGTTTCATCAAACCATTCTCCATTGGTTGAGTTGTCCTTATTTCCTGACAGAAGAGGACCTGTTTGGTCAACTTTGAAACTAATAACTAATGTGCTAGATGAAGCTAAAATCGATTATGGAATAATCCGAGGACTCGCTGTATACATGCATGGTTATCAAAGAAGTATCAAAGATTGTGATTTATTATTGATAAAAACTGTAAATATAAAATATTAATCTCTGCTGAAAATATTTAAATTATTCTCATTTAGGGTCTTTAACAATTTCAAGTACAACTTGTTGGACGCTATGTAAAACCAAAATTTGAAGATGCTAAAAAAAATTTATTGGTAATAGTACAAAAATTCCAATTGATATAATTGTTCAAGGCGAGATAAATATGAAATAATTTGTTTTTTTTCTATTCTATCTTGTTTATTATAAAAGCGTCCTGGTGACGGAAAAGATGTACTAGTCGAATTTTCTGATCCAAGAACAAATAGTCAATTGATTGATGGCCATTCTATTACTACATTACCAAAGTTAATTGAACTGAAATGATCTTCATTTAAACGTTTGCCTGGACATCGCAGTCAGGATCGAGCAGATGTGTTACAATTGATTAGAATTCGAAATCTGGACAAATCATTTGCTGAGTCTCTTCATTCATACGTGCAAAATGAATTTAAAGAATTGATTGATATTCTTGAAAAAGAAAAACAAAATGAATATGTTGACGAAATATAAATATTTTCGTTTGTTTTTACTTATTCAATAAATTATCGAAAAATGAATGATTATTAAACAAATTCTATAATGACATATATAACAAATTTAATTAAACTAATCATCAAAAAACAAAACTATACAAAGTGCTTAGTTCTAATTTGAACAAGCATTGTATTGAACGAAGGGTATGACTTTAAGTAGACCATGTATATTTATTTGTTTAGTTCGATTTTATGAGTTCTGAAGTTGAAAGTGTCAAAACTATACTAAATATCCTCTTTTTCCAAAAAATCTCCGAAACAAATGTTAATTGTTACAGAATTGTACAGATAAATAAAAAAGAAGGACACAAATCTGATACAAACATTTATATAGTAATCGGGAAACTTTTTTTAAGATCCTTGATAAAGTTCATATCGATTGTTTTTTTTTAAATATTTAATAGAAGACAAACTAGCAGACTTATTTGACATCTTTTAATATAATATTTATATTTCGTATCTGTGTATCTATTTCTTGATAGGTGTAATACATTTATTTGTTGTATTTATTAACGTAATTGATTGTTGACAACGCACAAAGAACGTTAGAGACCATTTAAAAATAAAACAATTTATTAGGTAAAATGTTTTGTTCAGAAGGAAGTAATTCTGAGAATTTTTTAAAAATTAATCATGGATTTAATACCTTATTTAAGTGTTCAACAAATAAGAGTGCCATTAAATGTTCAAAGGGATGAACAACACACCTGAAGAATATGTTTCGAGAAGTGGAGACTCCAAGGTTCGAATGGTTGAAACAGTTCTTCGATAACGCAATATCGGGAACAAATATAGATTTGACATTATGTTGATTCTATTGCTTCGAGTAGACAAAATATAACTCAATGTTATCGAATTTTATCGGTATTTGTTTTCATCAATAAGATATTTTAGCGGTAAAAACATAATCATAAAAGAATATCCTATTTAATTGAATTAATCATTGAGGAAAATTGTATCAAAAGTCTTTATTATTTAGCTGCGCTTTCTTCGAAATTTTTTCTTTTCCATCGCTACCTTATCGTCATTGCTTGGATGCGATTAGCGTGGATACATGTATCACAAAAACTGCAGTCATTTTGCAAAAGTACAATGTTTGATAGTGTCAACAGTTTATTTTTTTTTTACAATGGCACAGATATGAAAATATCAGTAGAGCGAATTAAATATGATTATCATTCTTTTGGTTTTTCTTCATTACTTTGCCAAGACAAGTCTTATCGTTAAATCCTTGTATAGCAGTCACGATCAAGTATGATCGCAGTAGTTTATTATGATTGATCTTTGATAACGCATGATCGCAAAAGTACTAAACCAAAGTCTATGTACAATCTTTTCCATTTTTATTGATGAACTAGATCTTAGATCGCTCCATTCCATCTATTATATGGTTAGTTTAATCATTTTCTCTGCTGATATGATCGAATTGTATATTATATGTTTTCCTCGTACGTTGTCTGAAGTTTGTTTAATCAGTTTCTTAAGTGTGGGAAAAAAAGTTTTTTTATCAAAAAGGTAATAGTGAAAAACTTTCTTCACAGAAATGGCTAGAGAAATCACTTAGAGCTACGACTAGAATGCTTATAATTCCTGAATGACTAATTCTAAACAACTGAAAATTGTGTGGCCTTGTAGATCTTCCGTTGATGATTTGAATTTACGTATGACAATTGAGAATTTGCCGTGCACACTTCGTCGGGTAGGTTTATTTTCAATGAGATCGATTGAAAACCTTTAAAAAAAGCGTATTAAAAAGAAACGTACAATATACGATTCGATGCATCTTCATGTGCTCTGTCGAACTATGAACGCAACAGTTCTCTATCTTGTTTCCATCAGAAGTTATTCAAAAAATATCCACGCTGCCTTTTTTTAAGTAGGCATTAGTATAACCATCATATGTGAGAGAAAAACAAGTCTTATTAAAATTTTATTATTATGATAGTACTTGAACAATGATGTAATAGTGCAGAAAAGTCGAGCGTCGTTGTTAATATTAATCCATACAGAGAAAAAGTTTCTTTAAACTTTTTATAAAGAATTAAAGGGACTCTACCACTAATTTTGGATAGCTCTCAGTCAGAGATGTGCGGTCCACGGGGTTCACCCCGCGGGCCCCGCGGGGCCACGTGGCGACGGGCGGGCGGGGAAGAAAAATTTAATTAAACGCGGGATTAACGGGGCGCGGGTATTTTCCGGCACACGGGCGGGCGGGGCGGGTAATCATTTTTTAAATGACACGGGTCTCGGGCGGAGCGGGTATGAAATACACGGGTTCGGGCGGGTAAACATTTTTTTTCGGGTGTGATGAAAGATCGTCAAAACTTATCACGGGATGTCCTTAGTAT